CACCAAACACTGTTGGCCACACCAGAGTCCGTGAGTGTCCACAAGCCTCTGAACACTGCCTGTAAGTTCACGCCCAGTGACCTGAGCTTTGTGGGGGCAAACAACCAAGCCGACAAGAACCCACATTCAATCCTCGAAGGGCTAATGACACTTTACACGGGTATATTATAACCCTCCCAAGAGGGCAGGTTAGAATCCTTGGCATTTACTGGGTCCAGGATAAGTGGCAGGTGGTGCTGGTCATTGTTGTTGTCATCGCTATTATTGTTAGCTATCAGAGCCCCCAGGGAAAGGCCCAGCTTCCTTCTGAGGCTTACGACCCCCTTCTCCACCCAGCTCCATCGCTCAGCCTCTTCCTGACTTACCCTACCCTGCTGTTCCCTCCTGGACACCCCAGATGTGTGACTGCGTCTCTCCACACCCTTCCCCTGCTCACCTCTAGCCTTTGCTTGTACTGTTTACTCCACCTGGCGCGTCCTCCCCACCCACAATATGACAAACTCCTTCAAGATTCAGCTCCTCTAGGGAGCTACTCCCAGTGCCTGAGAAACTCTGTAATGATGTGTTCCTGCACATTCTCGTTTGCAATACTTACCACAATGCATTGCAATGCGTATATACATGCCAATTTAAATGCGTTTGTGCATAAATGCATATATATTCATAGATTTCGTCTATGTTCAGTGAGCTAATGAATGAAAGTGATCTTGGGCCAGGCATCTCCCTTCTGGGGCTCTGCTTTCCTCACCTTCAAAATGAAGGCCTCAAACTCAATCTGTCATACACTGAGAGGTCTGACATTCACTCAGCAAACACCAAATGGTACCGCCTCTGGGGTTGGAGCTCAGAGCCCCAGCCAAATAAAATAATAAAGAAGCCTATTCCCGCTGAAAGTGGGGGGCACACTCTGCTTGTCACTAGCTTGCACCAGCAGCCCCCTACGGACCCTAGGCTTTGGAGTATTTTGTCTACCACGTGTTAGCATCTACCACGTGTTAGCATACCTGGTCTCAGCCCCAGCTGGCTCTCACAAATGCATGTGGCTCTAAATGAACACACACATCTTGGGAGATTCTTTAAAAAGGGGCGTGGGGGGAATGTTGGTGAGGCACCTTTATTTTTTAAAAGACTCACAATGACTTTTCCTGCGCATATAGAGTATGACTGTGTCAGAGCACCATGATTTGCTTTTACTGTTTTCATAACAAAGCAGAGTTGTCATGACCAAGGGGCTTAAAATGTAAAGTCATTGAGGCAGGAGGATTGGATCACTTGTTCCCCCCAGGAGTTTGAGACCAGCCTGGGAAACAGATCCTGTCTCTACGGCGGGTGGGGGGGGGGGCGGAAATTAGCCAGGCATAGTGGTGCTCCCAGTTACTCAGGAGGCTGAGGCGAGAGGATCTCTTGGGCCTGGAGGTTGAGCCAGATTGTGCCACTGCACTCTAGCCAGAGAGACAGAGTGAGATCCTGTCTCAAAAACAAAAAACAAAACAAAACAAAAAACCCAAAAAACAAACAAACAAAAAAAAAACAAGAAACAAAACAACAACAACAACAACAAAACACAAGGCAGTCACATGATATTTTGGGATTTGGGGATCCTGGTTCTGCTGGGCTGAGTGCCATAGGGGACGTGGCACCCACTGCTGGACGCTGAGATATGAGCCCTCAGGGATGGGGCTCTGGCCTAGGGAGCCCCTTTGCCTTCAGGACCCTGTTTCAGCCCTGGGCCTCTCGCCTCTGTCCTATGCTGTTCTGCCCAAGAATTCCCAGCCCAGGTGTGGGAAGCAGAGAGACCCCCATTAAGCCACCCAGTGACACCACCACTAGCACCTTGTCTTTGTTCTACCCTGAGGATGTGAGCAAAGCTATCAAGACTCCACAGGGGAATCTTGGTCCTTGGTTCACACAGCCTGTACATGATGCAAACAAACCCCATCTAGATAGAGGCTTCGTTTTTTTCTTGGAAGTTCAGCGGAAGCTGCCAGCCCTGGAGGATCAGGGGGCAGAGATAAGAAGCTCCAGGAACCACCTGGGGCCAAGCACGGATGGGGAGGGGCTTCTCACCAAGCACATTGCTGTCTCAGCAACTTTCCTGGTGAGCCGGTGGGTTTTTCCTTTGGTGTACTCAGCGTTTTACCCTTCGATCTCCCAGGAGCAACTCTGCGTACAGGTTTCATTCTGCAGGGGGCCTGCAAGGAGCTCCTTGAAGTTAATCTGGCTTCCTGGAGATAAAGACAGACCCTCAGCTCCCCACCGCAGAAGCTGAAAGTCCTTCCGTTTCTAAACCCAAACTGAGCTGTGCTGGGCCAGCAGAGCAGTGCCTCAGTGGGGAGGATGTCCCCTCCCCTCAGGGACTGGTTCACTTTGGCAGAGCCTGGGAGACCCTCAGCACCTCTGGGTTTAACCCTGGAAGCTGTGCTCTGCCCATCCTCTCCCCACCACCCTCTCCTGACCATCTGTATGGAGAGGGGCGAGTGTAGAGCAGGTGAGAGACGAGATACTGAATCTGGACCTCTCTATATAGTCCCCCCATCTCTTCTCCACGAATGAGCCAGTGTGAGCCTCTTAAAAGGCAGACCAGGCCGGGTGTGGTGGCTCATGCCTGTAATCCCACTACTTTGGGAGGCCGAGGCAGGAGGATCACAATGTCAGGAGTTAAGATACCATCCTGAGCCGGGCGCGGTGGCTCACGCCTGTAATCCCAGCACTTTGGGAGGCTGAGGCGGGTGGATCACGAGGTCGAGAGATCGAGACCATCCTGGTCAACATGGTGAAACCCCGTCTCTACTAAAAATACAAAAAAATTAGCTGGGCATGGTGGCACGTGCCTGTAATCCCAGCTACTCAGGAGGCTGAGGCAGGAGAATTGCTTGAACCCAGGAGGCGGAGGTTGCGGTGAGCCGAGATCGCGCCATTGCACTCCAGCCTGGGTAACAAGAGTGAAACTCCGTCTCAAAAAAAAAAAAAAAAAAAAAAAAAAAAAAAAAAAAAGATACCAGCCTGGCCAGTATGGTGAAACCCCATCTCTACTAAAAATTAGCCAGGCATGGTAGTGGGCACCTGTAGTCCCAGCTACTGGGAAGGCTGAGGCAGGAGAATCGTTTGAACCCAGGAGGCAGAGGTTGCAGTGAGTGGAGATCTTGCCATTGCACTCCAGCCTGGGGACAGAGCAAGACTCCATCTCCAAAAAAAAAAAAAAAAAAAAAAAAAAGATAAACCAGGTCATGTTGCTTCTCTGCTAAAACCCCCACTGCCTCCTCAGCAAGCCTTGGAATCATGATCTGGCCCTTATGACCTCTGACCTCATCTCTCACGCCTCTTCCCTGGCCCACCCCCAGCCCCAAGGGCCCGCTGGAACAGGACCCTAACAGGTCAGCCTTAGGGCCTTGCACTGGCTGTTCCCGCCACCTGGCTTCCCCTTCCCCTTATCTTTATACCTTCCCAATCAGACTTCAGCTTAGATGTGCCTTCTGAATCCCTCCCTGACCGCTGGATCTAACGTAACTGATTATGCTTTCTGTGGCAGCAGGTTCGACTGAATTCCCCGCACAACACATAGGGCAGTCTCCTCGTGATCTAGTTCGTCTGTCTTCTCCCCCTCCTGCTCCCAGGACGCCAAGTTCCTCGCAGAGGGCAGGGGCCTTTGCTGTCCCGAGCCCTGCAGAATCCCCCGGGGCCGAAGCAGGCCCGGCGGCGAGTAGGCGTCGAGTACACAGCTGAATGAACGGCTTAGCAACTGTAAATGGGGCATCAGCTGCTGCGCGGGCGCGCGCTCCAGGCCGTGGGCCGCTCACTGTCGCGTGCGCGGGTTTGATCTCGTTGCAGGTTCCGGGGGAGGGACACCCCCTCAGCCCGCTGGCGGCAGACGCGCCGTAAAAGCGCTTTGGGGACCAGAGGAAAACAACACAGACTTACAGGCAGTGGGAAGCCCGGGGGTCCGGCGAGGCCGCCGGTGGGGAGGGAGTTCTGAGGTCGGCTCGGCGCCCCCGGAACCCGGCTTTCAGGTCCGAGTGGGAGACCTTCCCACCCTTCCCAGTGGTTTCCACCTCGCGAATCGCAGATTATCTCCCGAATCCCAGGGACTTAGCGGTCGAAAGGGAGGAGGGGGAGTGGGGCTCCAAGCGCCGCTCCGGGCAGGGGGAGGTTCCCGGAGCCCTAGCTCCATCGGGGCAGAGAGTACGGACCGCGCTGCGGGACGCGGCTGGCAAGGCCCTGGCCCTGTCGGGGCGAGGACGCCGGAGGTCGGCTCAGTCCTGGGCTGTGAGTGGAGACACAGCCCCGCCGCGCGCTCCGGCAGGGGACCCGGGTGGAGACCGGGGCGGAGGAGCCTGGGGGCAGGGAAGGGGACAAAGAGCCGTCCTGCCGCCGGGGAGAGCGACCCCCGAGTCACAGTCCTATTGTTCGCGGTGTCTCAGGCTGCCCTGAACTCTGGTGCCCCCGGGAGGGAGAAGGGGCGCCGTCGCCCAGATCGTGGGTATTTGTTTATCTGGGGAGAGGGAGGAGGGCGGGGGACGCGGGCCGGGGAGGGGGCTCGACTGCCATTTCCGCGCGTCGCCTTTAAGGGAAGCCCGGCCCTACCTTTCCCACCGTCCCCCTCCCCGCAGCCGTACCTGCATTTTAAAAGCGCCCTGTAGCCCTGGGATTGGCCAAGGCCGCGTCCTTCGGGCGCAGAAACTTGAACCGCCGGGAGCCGGCTGCGGGCGGGGATCGGAAACCCCGCAGATGGACCGTACCACTGCCGCGGCTCCCCCGCTCGCGCCCCGCCCCTCCAGCACACCCCCGGAGCGGCCCAATCGCACGGGCTGGAGGGCGGGACCGCAGCCGGAACGCGCCTCTGAGAGGGCGCCGGCCGGGCGGGCGCACCGCGCGGGGGGACGACGGGGGCCGCGCCTCGGCTTCCCTGTCGCCCTGGGGGGCGGGGTCGGGCCTTAGATCCCCGCCCACTCCCCGCCCGCAGTGGGCGGGGCGGCGGGGGCTCCGGGAGCGGGGCCGGGGGCGGGCCTCCGCCTGCCTCGCCACAGCCGGGAGAGCGCCCGGCACCTCGGCCGCCGACGCAGCAGCCGCCTCCGCTCGCTCAGCCCCGAGGCGCGCGGGATCCCGGGCAGCCCCGGCGGTCGCGGCGAGAGGGCGCGCGAGGCGGCGTGGGGCGGGCCGCACGCGCCCCCGGCCGCCCCCCGCCCGCGCGCGGACCGGCCCAGCGGAGCCCCGGCGCGGGGAGCGCCGGCCGGGCGAGGGCGAGGGCGATGCTGCGGTGACGGCCCCGCCATGGCGAAGCCCGCGGCGACGGCGGCGGCGGCGTCGGAGGAGCTGAGCCAGGTGCCGGACGAGGAGCTGCTGCGCTGGAGCAAGGAGGAGCTGGCGCGGCGGCTGCGGCGCGCGGAGGGCGAGAAGGTGGGCCTCATGCTGGAGCACGGCGGCCTGATGCGCGACGTGAACCGGCGGCTGCAGCAGCACCTGCTGGAGATCCGCGGCCTCAAGGACGTGAACCAGCGGCTGCAGGACGACAACCAGGAACTGCGCGAGCTCTGTTGCTTCCTCGACGACGACCGGCAGAAGGGGCGCAAGCTGGCGCGCGAGTGGCAGCGCTTCGGGCGCCACGCGGCCGGCGCCGTGTGGCACGAGGTGGCCCGCTCGCAGCAGAAGCTGCGCGAGCTCGAGGCGCGCCAGGAGGCCCTGCTGCGCGAAAACCTGGAGCTCAAGGAGCTGGTGCTGCTGCTGGACGAGGAGCGCGCGGCACTGGCGGCGGCGGGGGGCGCAGGCGGCGGAGGGAGCGGCAGCGGCGGCGGCGCCGGCTCCCGCAGCTCCATCGACAGCCAGGCCAGCCTGAGCGGGCCCCTGGCGGGTGGCGCGCCGGGCGCGGGAGCCCGCGACGTGGGCGACGGCAGCAGTACGTCCAGCGCGGGCAGCGGCGGCAGCCCCGACCACCACCACCACGTCCCACCCCCGCTGCTGCCCCCCGGGCCGCACAAGGCCCCCGACGGCAAGGCAGGAGCCACACGTCGGTCCCTGGACGACCTGTCGGCGCCGCCGCACCACCGCAGTATCCCCAACGGCCTGCACGGTAAGGACTGCAAGGGCCAGGGCGGTGCGGGTTTCCCGGGGTGCAGCCCCTTCCCCAGCCTGCGATGAAGGCTGGGCCCAGGGGTGACGAGAGGAGGTGGTTTCCGGCGGTCCCACTCGTGCAGCCGGCACTCCAGACCCCTCCTGCAGCTGTCATGGTTCCTGGGCCAGGGGATCCCTCACCCACCCGAAGTTCGGCTTTGGGCGGTGGTGGGCCAGTCCAGTGGTGAAGCGTGTTTCTGTTCAGCTCAGAACCTGCAGCCGGTGCGGTCCCAGAAAAGTTTCTCTCAGGCATAGTTGCTAAAATTAGCGTCTGGCACTGCTGGGCTAGGGGTGGGCACCTCATCCCAGCCTTAGAAATCCTTGCCCAGCAGCGGGAAGTTCTAAACAGAAAAGAATATAAGGCCCCTTGAGCGCAAGTGAATTTCCCCTCTTACAGCAACAGGTGTCCTTCTAACCAAACAGTGTCCACGTGTGCGCAGTGACTGGAGTTCTGCAGTAAGGCGTGGGGATTGGGAAGGAGCACAGGCAGCCGCCTTGAGACTCGGCGGCAGCTGGGAAAAGGCCTGGGGCGAAGAACCTTTCTGGTTTGCCATAAATTCTGCCCTTCTGGTCCCAAGACCTTTCTCAGCCAAGGCTCTAAGACTTTTCCGAGGGAGATGTATTTGGAACGGATCCTAGCTTTTCTCCTCTGTGTCCCTCAGTTTCTTTGTCTGTAAAATGGAGATGATGACCTCTGCCTCGTGGGTTTGAGGCGGAGATAAACCTTCTGAAGGGATTTGTAAACTGTTGATCGCCTTACAGGAAGTGCCGTGGTCGTCTGCGACCAGGGTATGTGTGGGTGGGAGGACCTTTGGCTTCTGGAAAACTCAGCGGCTGTTTTCCACGCCCATGTTCCTGCTGCACCCAGTGCAGAGGGTGGCCCCAGCTTGGGGCTGTGGGATCCTGCAGCCTGCGCCCCCTCCCAGCCCCCTGACCAGTCCTGCTGCTGCCTGCCTGCCGGCTTTCTGGTCCCTGCGGAGGAGCTGGGGCCTCCCTGATCTTCACACTTCTGGTAGCTTGGCTTCTAGTTCCGGTGGTAGTTGCAGCTGCCTGAACTTTTTGCCTGATCGTGGGGATCAATAGTCCTTTCTGGTTCCCTTTAAAGCCTTTCCTAATTCAGACAAAGTGTCTACCCTCCCCAGCACCCCTCAGCCTGAGCTGGGGAGGGCTGCTTTCTCCTTGGTTTGGTGGCCAAGTGGCCTCTGCAGGCGTGTTGGGGTGGGGACTGGGGTGGGAACCATACCCGTGGAGCTGGGGCAGGGGGCAGTGCAGCATATTTTTCCTTTATTTACCATCCTGGGTCTGTAGGTTCAGGGCAGGACTGGGTTTAGAGGGATATTTTGTTACTGATTAGCAATCTATGGCTACAACTCAGGTTTCTCTTTGTAACACTGTATCCACCCCCCAGCTCCCACTGTGGGCTGCTTCAGGTCAGTGTGACTAGCGCAAAGTCTGGTGGTTTAATCTGTTGGAGCTGTTTAGAGCATCTCAGTCTCCTTGACCTCGCCATCCTTTTGAAGAGTCAGTTATCTGGGCCTCAGTTTCCCCAAGTGCAGTACAAAGGAGCAAATTGCTGCAGTCTCATGGCTGGAAAATGAAATGTTTCTGGTTTTTAGCTGCGTCATCAATGACACTTGGCGAGAGTGCCTCTCTGCAGGACACTGGAGGGCCGGAGTGTTCAGAGCCTACTTGCAGGAAAGGCTCCGTTGTGTTTTGGGCCAGGAGATGCACCTGATCTGGCTCAGCCTGGCTCAGCGTGAGACAGCTGCGGGAGTGAATAATGCAGGAGTGAAGGACCAGGCTGGACTGAGTTTTCTGCCCCACTGGGGGCTGGTGGGGGGGTGAAGTGTAGGGTTTTCCACAGAACTCATCCTCTCCCAGGTCCGCTTAGCACAGGACTGCTGCAGATGTGGCAGCAAACCTTTGCTTTGGGGTAAAATGAAAATTCAGCATTATTATTACAAATTTCAGTTACAGAAGGAATTCTTATGGAGTTTTGTTTCTTAAAGCCTTGTGTGGCCTTGAGAGGTTGTCCCACTAATATAAATAGAATGCTTGGAAACCAGGAAAGGTCCTTCTCTTAGAAACCGAGCTTTTCCTTTTTGCCTTTTTTTTCAAGCTAGGGTGTCACTCTGTCACCCAGGCTGGAGTACAGTGGCACACTCATGGCTCACTACAGCCTTAACCTCCCAGGCTTAAGTGATCCTCCCAGCTCAGCCTCCTGAGTAGCTGTGATTAGAGGCATGAGCCACCTTGCCTAGTGAAAGTGGGCTTTTCTATTCTGAGATGTATAGCTTTAAGTTGAGCAAAGATTGCCCCTGAGCTGAGGGAGACAATGGGTCTGTGTCCAGGTGGTGTCTAAAGTGGGGTCACACACCAGGCTTGCACCTTCTATGCTTGGTCTTAGTTCCTCGCAGGAACCCTGGGGAAGCAGTATTGTCCCCATTTTACAGGCAAGCAAGGCTTAGAGGGCTTCCTAGTCTTGCCTGGGAAGATGGCTTACTGGCAGTGTCTATCCCGGGTGAGTTTGCTGCCGGGATCATCTCCCGTTCAGGGCATGGGTCTAAACCTGTTGTGCTTTTAGCCTGTTGTCATGTTTGCTGTTACTGTTAATCAGGGGACACTGGTGACTCCCTATTCTTGATTCCTGACCCAGGTTTGCCCTCTTTCTCCCATGATGGGAAGTGTCACTTCCTTATCGGTGGCCACTGAGCAGATGGCTGATAACCCCATTACCCAGAGGCCAAGGTTGACTTGAGTCTGAATCTCAGCTCCTCCTTGTATATTGGGCCAGTTATTAACTGGCCAAGCCCCACCCTGCGCCTCTTCTGTAAGGTGGACAGAACCCACAGTGCCACATTATCTACACAAGGTTGAGTGTGGTCAGGATCTACACACAGTAGGTTTCGCCTGCTGTACAGTCCTTGGGGGTTCACCCAACAGACCTTGGTTTCCTCTTCAAAACTGCTGGCTGTTTAGACAGCTCACCTGAATTTTGCATCTGAGCCCCTTGTGTGGCCACATTTGCTGATGAGCTAGTGGGGAAAGTGGCCCTGCTGTCCTTTCTGGGGAGCTGGTGGCAGTTGCAGCCCTGCTGGGTGCCCTGGGAGGACTCCAGTGGCTGAGGTGGGAGGTGGCCCATCTGTATGCAAGGCAGCCCTGGCTGACGCTGGCCTGGCAGGCCTGGGTATGCACATGCAAATAGGCTTTTCTCCTTGGCTGGCTTTTTTTTTTGAGACAGGGTCTCACTTGTCACCCACACTAGAGTGCAGTGACACTGTCATGGTTCGCTGCAGCCTTAACCTCCCAGTAATGCTCTTGCCTCAGCTTCCTGAAGCTACTGGGATGACAGGCATGTGCCACCGTGCCCAGCTAATTTTTGTATTTTTTGTAGAGACAGGGTCTCACTATGTTGCCCACGTTGGTCTTGAACACCTGGGCTCAAGCGACTCTCCTGCCTGGGCCTCCCAAAGTGCTGACATTACAGACGTGAGCCACTGCACTTGGCCTTGGCTACCTTTGATAGAGGTCTGGTTGGGGCTGGCTGGACTTGGGACTAGGGTGTGCTATGCTCTAATCTAGTGTGGCACACTGAGGCAGGGGAACCCCAGACACCAGAAAGTCAAGTTCTCCTTCATGAACTGATAGGATTTTCAAACCAAACAAATTTCAGTTCTTTTTCTACCTGCCCCTCCCCTGTCCCGTGTGCCCACCACAGGCATCAAGCCCCCCTCCCGCCCATCCCCAGGCGATTGCTCCCCTCCCCGAATTACCTCCCTTCCACGGCCCACTCCCCTTCAGCAGCACAGAGGAACCAGAACTTCTGCCAAGCCTGTGGCTGAGCCCCATTTACGTTTTAAAGTTTGGACTAACGTTTTGAGCTTCTCAAAATGGGACAGGTTTGTTCTCTTGCTGTTGTTTTTGTTGGTTTAAGAGGGAGGATGGAACAGGGTGGTCTGGGCCTTTAGAAAAAGACGGAGCATGCTGACTCTGAATAGGGCTTTTCTGTGCAGCAGCTTCACTAATAAGGCCGCTTTTCCTAAACCCAGCCAGGCCCAGGAGCAAAGGTCAGTGAAGACAATGGGGTGGGTCAGGTAAGCTTTTCCCCCTCCTTCCCCAGCCTGTCCCAAGGGATCCATCAATGGCCTTAGGATGCTGGGCCTCAAAAAGGAGGGCTGGCCTTGAGAGGCTCCCAGGCAGATGACCCAGGGGTGGGTGAGCTGTGCTGAGCGCTTCACAGTTTGCCACAAAGAGCGTCCCAGTCCCAACGCCATTCTGTTCAGAGCTTCCAAATGGTCCCAGGAGGGAGACCTCAGCATCTCTGTATTTTAGGTGGGGAAACTGGGGCTTGGCAGTGGTGGTGCAGTGACTTGCTCTGGGTCCTGTGGGGCTGGAGGGGGGCCTGGGTTGTGTCTTGGGTCCCTGTGTCAGAGTTCTGAGCCTGTGACCCTGTGCCCACTGCCCAGGGAGTTCCAGGGGAGTGGTGACCTCTGCCACAGGGCACCTCCTCCCAGGACGCCAGGCCCTGGGCTTCATTCCTACCTCCCTGTGTCCTGGCATGAAGGAGGGATGAAGCCTTCGGGGGCTGTGCCTCCTCCCCTCGCTTCTCTTCGTGAGGCTGGCTTCCCACCGCAGTGGTCACCATACCAGCGCTCTTGCTCAGACCGGGCTCCGAGTTCCCAGCCCAGCACGTGATACGCAAGGAAATCAGTGATTGCTCTTAATCCGTTTTCCACCCATGGGGATTTTCCAATCCATGCCTGTGGCCTTCATTTGTGCAGAGAATTGGCAATCTGTTAGGGAAGTTCCTGAGCCTCCACGGGCCTCTGCTTTCTCATCTGCAAAGTGGGAAAATGTTACCAGCCTTTGTGTTGAGGGAGGAGAGTGTGTAATGAATGATAGGTGTAGCCTGTGCGGTGTGGCAGCTCCTGATGTGTGAAGCCCCTTTCTCTCTCTGCA